CACAGTCGGACTCCTGCTCTGTTGGAGGAAGTGCTGGGCGTTAGAACCATCCCTGACAGGGTGCAACAAACCCACCCGTGGAACGACACGGCCTTCTTTTTCTTCGGGATCCCCTTGGCCCGGCTGCTCACCCCCCGGGGAGCCTCTGGGACTAGCTGGGAGCAGCTCTCGACCCCCGTGGGGGTGTCCCCGGCCTCATGGATCTCCTTGGACTGCCAGATCGTTTTCACCACCACGCTCGCCATGGCGTGGGGGTCTGGCTCCCAGGGAGGGCTCCTTCCTCTGAGACTTCCCGCCTACTGTGACCACAGACCCTCAGGATCCAGTGTCCCCTCAGCCTGCCTCACAAAGGACCCAACCACTGGGCTCCAGTGAGTGGGGGACATGGGGTAGGGAGGGGTGCTGGCCCAGGTCATTCCCCCAGGGTTCTCAGTGGACTCCTCCTGTGCGGGATTCTAGTTACATGCCCACGTGCCCCCTGTCTTCAGAGCTCCAGTGGATAGACTCGTGCTAGCCTGTAACTTACGACGGGTTGGCCCACGGATTCTTGGGAGAGATCCAACTTCCCTCTCCCTGAGACTAAGCGTGGGGTCACCCAGCCCTGTGCACTTGTACTTGATTCTTCATGTAGCTTCCTGGATTTGATAGTTGGCTGGGGTCTGAGAGACTGTGGTCTAAGAGGGCTGAGATCCAGACCCTGACCCGGAGGGTCTCATATTCTATGGCGCATTGGGGTGGGGGGAAAGGCAATGTACAGGTAGATCAACAAGAGAAAGCTAGGTACGGTGGGCCTTGGGGTCAGGGTGGAAGGTGAGGGAGGAGAGGAAGGTGGAGAGTTGCGGCAGGAGAGAGGGTGGCACCCCTCTCCCCCATTTATTTATTTATTATTTTCCTTAACTTTTTTTTTTTTTTTTTTTGAGACAGAGTCTCTCTCTGTCACCCAGGCTGGAGTTCAGTGGCTCAATCTCGGCTCATTGCAACCTCTGCCTCTCGGGTCCAACTGATTCTCCTGCCTCAGCCTCCTCCCCAATAGCTGGGACTACAGGCGTTGGCCACCATGTCCGGCTAACTTTTGTATTTTTAGTAGAGACAGGGTTTCACCATGTTGGCCAGGTTGGTCTCAAACTTCTGATCTCAAATGGTCTACCTGTCTCAGCCTCCCAAATTGTGGGATTACAGGTGTGAGCCACCACGCTTGGCCATAATTTTTTTTTTTTTTTTTTTTTTGAGATGGAGTCTCGGTCCAACACCCAGGCTGGAGTGCAGTGGTGTGATCTCGGCTCATTGCAACCTCTACCTCCCAGGTTCAAGCGATTCTCCTGCCTCAGGCTCCTGAGTAGCTGAGACTACAGGTGCCCACCACCACCACACCCAGCTAATTTTTTGTTTTGTATTTTTAGTAGAGATGAGGTTTCACTATGTTGGCCACGCGGGTCTCCAACTCCTGACCTTGTGATCTGCCCACTTTGTCCTCCCAAAGTGCTGGGATTATAGACATGAGCCACTGTGCACCCCCCCACCCCCAGCCCAGAAAATGTCACAAATTTGCATGTTATCTTTTTTCGCAGGGCCCATGCTAATCTCTGTATCGTTCCAATTTTTTTTTTTTTTTTTTTTTTTTTTTTTTTTTTTTTTTTTTTTTTGAGACAGAGTCTAGCTCTGTCGCCCAGGCTGGAGTGCAGTGGCCGGATCTCAGCTCACTGCAAGCTCCGGCCCGGGTTCATGCCATTCTCCTGCCTCAGCCTCCCAAGTAGCTGGGACTACAGGCGCCTGCCACCTTGCCTGGCTAGTTTTTTTTTTGTATTTTTAGTAGAGACAGGGTTTCACCGTGTTAGCCGGATGGTCTAGATCTCCTGACCTCGTGATCCGCCCCTCTCAGCCTCCCAAAGTGCTGGCATTACAGGCGTGAGCCACCGCGCCCGGCCAGTTCCAATTGTAATACATGTGCCGTGGAAGCAAGCACGCCCTGCTATTTAGGGACAGACTTTTCCTGTTCCTGGGTCCCTGGATGTCCCTCTTCACACTTCTCAAAAAGACTAGTTCAAACATCACTGCTAACAGACATTTTATTTATTTATTTATTTATTATTATTTTTTTTTGAGACAGAGTCTTGCTCTGTCGCCCAGGCTGGGGTGCAGTGGCCGGATCTCAGCTCACTGCAAGCTCCGCCTCCCGGGTTTAGACCATTCTCCTGCCTCAGCCTCCCGAGTAGCTGGGACTACAGGCGCCCGCCACCTCGCCCGGCTAGTTTTTTGTATTTTTTAGTAGAGACGGGGTTTCACCGTGTTAGCCAGGATGGTCTCGATCTCCTGACCTCGTGATCCACCCATCTCGGCCTCCCAAAGTGCTGGGATTACAGGCTTGAGCCACCGCGCCCGGCCTATAACAGACATTTTAAATGCCGTTATCCCAGGGGAGAAAGTACTTCTTCCTTGTCATGAATGGACTCCAGTTCTTGGAACGCTTTATGTATCTTTCTATAAAAAAGAACTCCTGGCCGGGCGGGGTGGCTCACGCCTGTAATCCTAGCACTTTGGGAGGCCAAGGCGGGCGGATCACCTGAGGTTGGGAGTTCAAGACCAGCCTGGCCAACATAGTGAAACCCTGCCTCTACAAAAATAGAAAAATTAGGCGGGCATGATGACGGGTGCCTGTAATCCCAGCTACTCGGGAGGCTGAGGCAGGAGAATCGCTTGAACTTGGGAAGCTTGAACAGTGAGCTGAGATTGAGCCACTGAACTCCAGCCTGGGCGACAGAGCGAGACTGTCTCAAAAAAAAAAAAAAAAAAAAAAAAAGGCCGGGCGCGGTGGCTCACGCCTGTAATCCCAGCACTCTGGGAGGCCGAGGAGGGCGGATCACGAGGTTAGGAGATCGAGACCATCCTGGTTAACACGGTGAAACCCTGTCTCTACTAAAAATACAAAAAATTAGCCGGACGTGGTGGCGGGCGCCTGTAGTCCCAGCTACTCGGGAGGCTGAGGCAGGAGAATGGCGTGAACCCGGGAGGCGGAGGTTGCAGTGAGCCGAGATCGTGCCACTGCACTCCAGCCTGGGCCACAGAGCGAGGCTCCGTTTCAGAAAACAAAACAAAACAAACTTCTTCAAGTCCTGGGATTAATCATTTTTCCTGTGTTTAATGGGGCTGCTTTATGTTCTTCAGGGGCAAACAGCACCCCCCCATATTAGAAATGGACTCTTCCAGTGACTAAAACAGCTGAGCAACGTCTGTCCTCCTGGAATCCAAAATGGACTTTCCCAGGTCCCATTCCTGGAAACCCAAATGGACGCATCCATTGAGCCTGGAAGGTGGGCTCTTCTCAACCTCCTTTCCATCTCCCAGGATTCAGAATGGCCATTCCAAAGGTCCCGGACACACCCCCAAGACTCATTCCAGGAATGCTTGGCTTCTGAGATTAGAAAAGGATGATGGGGTGGTTTTGTTCCTAGAGGTGACAGAAATGGACTCTTCCAGTTCCCTTTGTCCCAAATTTCTCAATCGCCCGGGGCGCTGGGAGTTCTGGCCGTTTTGCCTTCCCCAAAGCTAGTTTACCGAAGAGTCTCTGGGGAGCTGGGGGTTGGGAATGGAGGCTGGGGCTGGGCCAAAGCAGGTTCACCCATTCCTTCCTTTAACAGATGTTGTTGAAAACTCTTCAAGGCCAGGTCCCATTCTTGCCCAGAAGGAGTTCCCAGTCTGGAGGAAAGAATTAATTTTGGTTTGATATCTGCTACAATGGAGGCTGCCCGAGAGATGCTGTGGTTGGACAAAAAAAAAAAAAAGGGCAACATATATTGAAAAGTAAGCCAAGATATGGTTTACATTTATTTCTGCTTTTTCACTTACAAGCTATGTGGCCCTGGGCAAGTCATTCACCCTCTCGACCTAAGGTTTATTTATTTATTTATTTATTTAGAGACGGAGTCTCGCTCTGTCGCCCAGGCTGGAGTGCAGTGGCCGGATCTCAGCTCACTGCAAGCTCCGCCCCCCAGGTTCACGCCATTCTCCTGCCTCAGCCTCCCGAGTAGCTGGGACTATAGGCGCCCGCCACCTCGCCCGGCTAGTTTTTTTGTATTTTTTAGTAGAGACGGGGTTTCACCGGGTTAGCCAGGATGGTCTCGATCTCTTGACCTCGTGATCCGCCCGTCTCGGCCTCCCAAAGTGCTGGGATTACAGGCGTGAGCCACCGCGCCCGGCTCGACCTAAGGTTTAACCTCTGCTTAATGGGACTAGACTTGAATTACTGTTTTTCACTCTGAGATTCTAGGTCTCCTGACAACTCAAGTCCCGACACGTTGGCTGCAGAGAAGGGGGGAGGGGAGGAAGGCTTCCTAGAAGAGGATTTTAGCAGTCGGGGGTGACAGTAGATGGAGAAAGGGAACACTGAGACGCTTGCGCAGTAAACACCGCACGCTCTCTTGCCCCGCCCAACCCCTTCTCTGCAGCAGGGAATTGCAGGCGTCGCTCCACCTATCCCAGCCGAGCGGAGTGACACCCTCTCTCGTTCCTTCTCTACTGATCTTCGCCTTCCGCCCGCCCCACAGCCGCCCAATAGAGAGCTGAAGTAGGACAGATCTCGCCAATCCGCGACGCCTGAGGGGGAGGTCTACCCGTTCATTGGTCCCAGTCAACCTAAGTCCCGCCTCCTAGTCCCTTTCCCCGCCTTCCTTCACGACCCTCCCTCCCTCCTTGGAGGGCCGCTAGATCCAATCAGTGTTTGACCTGGCCGCGCGAAGGGGGCGGGTCCATGATGCGCAATCGAACCCCGCCCGTCTCTTGGGCAACGCCTCCTCCCCACCTTCTCATTCCCAAACGGAAATAGCGGAACAATGGACCAATGGCAGCGTCGTGCCTTTGCTTAGCGGCCAATGAGAGAGGAAGTGGGGAGAAACGCGAGTGTGAGCGGCAGGAGCCCAAACCAATGGGAGCTCAGAGCTCCGGACGGCGGGCGGAGGGGAGGGGCAGGGGGCGGTGCCACGGCCTGCCAGCCCGCCCGCCCGCCCGCCAGCCAGCCCTCCCCGCGGCCGGCTGGGCTCCTTGGCGCTGCCTGGGGTCCTTTCCGCCCGGTCCCCGCTTGCCAGCCCCCGCTGCTGTGTGCCCTGTCCGGCCAGGCCTGGAGCCGACACCACCGCCATCATGCCGGCCGTGTCCAAGGGCGATGGGATGCGGGGGCTCGCTGTGTTCATCTCCGACATCCGGAACTGTGAGCGCGCGGCCGGGGGACACTGGAGACGCGGGGGAGGGGGGAGCGTGAAACTGAGGGGTTTGGGGGTCACAGAGGGACCCGGGGGATCAAAAGCTCTACGGTCGTAGAAAAAGAGCATAGATGGGCCCCGGGAGGAACTTTAGGGTGGGGGGCACGCAGGGGCTTGGGGTGTCATAGAGTGCCTCTTGAGGTGACGACACGGAGTAGCTAGAGGGGTCCGGGAGGGCTTGAAAGGGGAGGAGGACAGTGAGGTCCCGGGGATGGGAGCATAGAGGTGTCCCCTGGGAAAGACTGAAAAGCTGGGGGATCGTACAAACGATGGGGTTAGAGGGATTCCTAATGTAGGGAAGAAGGGAAAGAAGTGCATGGTGGGGGTGCCCTGTGGAGCGATGGAATGGGAGGAAGCCAGAGGGGACCTGGAGGAAGTGGAATGCCGGAAGCCTAATGGAGCAGGGCTTGAGGGCCTGGGATAGGGGGTGTCATACAGGGGAAAGGGGTTAGATAGGTCACCGAGGCTCCTGGCCAGTGGTATAGAGGAGGCCTGAGAGTGGGTGAAAGTCCACGCGTTTGGGGCGGGGAGATGATGGGAGGGGGAGACTATAAGGACACCCTGGTGAGGGATAGAGGGGCTTCAGGGTGGGAGATTGCTTAGAAGATATGGAAGGCAGTGGGGAGGGGGCTAGAGGGGCAGCTGAGGGGAAAGGAGGGACCCAAGGAACACAGAGGAAAAGAGCTGCTGGTGTAAGGTCTTGGGAGAACCTGTGACAGGGAACGGGGGCCTGGAAAGGAGAGGACGTTAGAGTGGCGGGTTGGGGGAAGGGCAGAAGAAGGAGCGCCCAGACCTCAAGGAAGGCGTTGGGTTCTGAAGTGCTTGAGGGGTAGAGATCTGGAAAGCTGGGGATAGGGGAAGTCTAATCCCAGAGAGAGGTCAGGGGTCAGGCAGCAGGACAGGCAGGGATCTGAGCCCTTTTCTGTTTGACCACAGTAATATGGGGACAGTGGTCCCTGCCAGGAAGAGTTGTCGTGACAATGAAGCCTGGCGGCAAGTCAGTTCTCAACTCCTGGGAATGGCTGTTGGAGATTGGAGCTGCCAGGAGTCTTCAGAGGCTGTATCCGCGTGGGCTCTGGGGTCAGCCAGACTTGGGTTTGCGTTTGAGCACTGCCACTCCCTAGCTCTGTGACCTTGAATGAGGGACTTCACCCCTCGGTTTCCTCATCTGTCAAGAGAGACTGCTGATCGTATCTTCCTGAGGGGCTTGTGACAATGCCTGTGAGTCAGGCCTTTCACGCGTTCCAGGCCCCAGATGGAACTTGGCTATTGTTTTTCCTCCGCTGGCTCTGAACAGCAGCTCTGTAAAGTACCCAGTGATTGTTGTTGTTTTAGAATTTAACTGTTATGGAAGGATCTGGCATGTAGTAGGTGCTCAGGGAACAGGAGGGTGGAAACGGTTGGGTATCAGTTGAAGGAGAAATGATCACTTGTTATGACAAGGGGCGGAGCGATGGGGGTTGTGGAATAGCTGGGGGCCACTGTTAGCAGATATACGCTGCCTTTGTTACCCACCAGGGATGTGAATCCCTACGAGTCATTTAACCTCTTTCAGGACGTCTTCTTGTCTGCAAACTTCATTCATAACAGCGTCTTGCCTCTGAAGGCTCATTTATTCATTCATTCACTTGACAAATACTTTTTGATCGCTCTAGTGTTGTCCAGGCCGTGTTCTAGGCGCTGGGATGACAATAATGAACAGAAACTCCTGTTCTTGCCGGGTGCGGTGGCTCACGCCTATAATCCCAGCGCTTTGGGAGGCCGAGGCAGGCGGATCACCTGAGGTCAGGAGTTCAAGACCAACCTGGCCAACATGGTGAAACTCCGTCTCTACTAAAAATGCAAGAATTAGCCAGGTGTGGTGATGGGTGCCTGTAATCCCAGCTACTCAGGAGGCTGAGACAGGAGAATCGCTTGAACCCGGGAGGCGGAGGTTGCAGTGAGCCGAGATCACACCATTGCACTCCAGGCTGGGCAACAAGAGTGAAACTCCATCTCCAAAAATAAAAAAAGAAAAAGAAACTCCTGTTCTTGGGAGCTCCCTTCCCCGAGGAAGACAGAACATATGCACAGGGAACACCCTGAGATACAACCTCAGGACCTGACTGGTGCTGTGAAGAAAAATGAGGAAATGGGCAGGAGAGGGACTGGGATTGAGAGGGTACTCAGTAGGCCTCATGAAAGAAGTCAGAGCTGAGTGGAGCAAGCCCTTTGGATTTTGGAGGAAAGGGGTCCTGGCACGGGGAGGTGCGTTCAAAGGTCCTGAGGTTGTGGCATGCTTGACGTGTGTTCAAGTGAGAGGGAGAAGGTCAGTGTGGCTGGACCTGAGGGAGTGAGAGGGAGAGAGGTCGGGAGTGGAGAGGGGTGGGAACAGGATCGGGAAAGGCTTTCTGGGCCATGGTGAGCACTTTGGCCTTTGTCTGCGTGAGAATATTTTGAGCAGAGGAGGGACGTGACCGATTGATGTTTTAAAATAATTCCTCTGGCTGCTGTGAGAACAGATTCTAGAGGTAGCCGTGGAAGCAGGGAACCAAATTAGGAGGATGTTGCAGGCCTCTGGGTGAGAGATAGTGCTGGCTTAACAGGGTGAGAAGGGACTGGTGAGAAGTGGGTTGGTGATACGTTGTTTTTTTTTTTTTTTTCTGAGACAGTCTCTGTTGTCCAGGTTGGAGTGCAGTGGCATGATCATAGCTCACTGCAACCTCCGCCTCCCAGGTTCAAGCAATTCTCCTGCCTCAGCCTCCCCAGTAGCTGGGATTACAGGCACCCATCACCACGCCTGGCTAATTTTTATCTTTTTAGTAGACATGGGGTTTCACCATGTTGGCCAGGCTGGTCTCGAACTCCTGACCACAAGTGATCTACCTGCCTTGGCCTCCCAAAGTGCTGGGATTACAGGCGTGAGCCACCGTGCCCAGCCTGGGATACAATTTGAAGGGAAAACTGTCAGGATTTGCAAAGGGATCTGATGATGGGGGTTGGGGAAGGAAAGAGATCGTCCCGTCACTGCAGGACCCCAGAGAGGAGCCAGAGGACAGAGGGGAGATGCAGGCTTGGGGCACTGGAAGGAATTTAGCTGCAGGAATGAGGACTGGAGAATCAGAGGCTTTTCTTAGCAAGCGTATGTTGAACGGCTCGCATGTCTTAAGAATTATGCTGAATGCTGGGGACGTTGGTGAACAGGACAGACTCGTCCACCCCTCCATGAAGCTCCCAGCCCCGCGGGGGAGAAGGTGCAACATACAAATTGCAATTGTCCTTCACGCTAATACCCAGACACGGGTGTTCATGGCAACATTATTCATGATAGCCGGAAAACGGAAACGGACCAAATGCCCATCAACTGAGAAATAAACAAAATGTGGTCTATGTAATGGAATATTACTGGGCCATAAAAAATAACGATGTCCTGCTACATGTTGCCACAGGGATGGACCTTGAAAACATGACACCAAGTGAAAGAAGCCAGACACAGGAGGCCACGTGTCATATGATTCCATGTAGATGGACTATCTAGAATAGGCAAATCCATGGAGACAGAAAGGAGATTAGTGGTTGCCTAGAGTAGGGGGCTGGTGCGATGGGGAGTGACTGCTCATCAATGCAGAGGTTCTTTTTTTATTTTTTGAGACGGAGTCTCACTCTGTCGTCCAGGCTGGAGTGCAATGGGGTGATCTTGGCTCACTGCAACCTCTGCCTCCCAGGTTCAGGCGAGTCTTCTGCCTCAGCCTCCTGAGTCGCTGGGATTACAGATGTGCACCACCACGCTGGGCTAATTTTTGTATTTTTAGTAGAGACGGGGTTTTTTCCATGTTGATCGGGATGGTCTCGAACTCCTGACCTCAGGTGATCCACTACCCCAGCCTTCCAAAGTGCTAGGATTACAGATGTGAGCCACTGTGCCCGGCAGAATTCAGAGCTTCTTTTGGGTTCATGAAAAAGCCTATAGCTGGGACTACTTGGGAGGCTGAGGTAGGAGGATCATTTGAACCCAGGAGTTCGAATCCAGCCCAGGTCACATAGTGAAACCTCATCTCTTAAAAAAAAAAAGAAAGGAAAAGAAATGTTCTGGAATTAGATAGTAGTAATGGTTGCACAACATCATGAATGTACTAAAGAACACTGAATTGTTCACTGTAAAAGGGTGTTTTATGGTATGTGAATTGTATCTTGTCTTTTTTTTTTTTCGAGACAGAGTCTCATTGTGTCGCCCAGGTTGGAATGCAGTGGTATGATCTCGGCTCACTGCAACCTCTGCCTCCCAGGTTCAAGCGATTCTCCTGCCTCAGCCTCCCGAGTAGCTGGGATTATAGGCGCCCACCACTATGCCCGGCTAATTTTTGTATTTTTAGTAGAGACGGGGTTTCACCATGTTGGCCAGGCTGGTCTCGAACTCCTGACCTCAAGTGATCTGCCTGCTTCGGCCTCCCAAAGTGCTGGGATTACAGGTGTGAGCCACCGCGCCTGGCCGTATCTCGATTTTTTTTTTTAAATGGGGGAAGAATTTGTAGCTGTCCTAAGTCCAGTGCGGAAGAGGGCCATTGTGTTGAGAGAATGGGGGCTCTGTGTGTGGTCAGCGAGCTCCGGCCTGGCTTTGCTTCACGAGAGACCCTTGGAGCTGTGTGGGCAGGAAGTGGGGGAGTTACCTAGGCTGAGGGCAGTGCAGAAGAGCTGTGAAGGCAGAGATGGGGCATGTGCAAAGGTCCTAACTTCCGGGCGCCATGGTGGGCATCTCTGTCCCAGCTACTCAGGAGGTGGAGCAGAAGGATTGCCTTGAGGCCAGAAGTTTGAGACCAGCCTTGGCAACATAGCAAGACCCTGTCTCTTTTTTTGTTTTGTTTTGAGACAGAGTCTCGCTCTGTCACCCAGGCTGGAGTACAGTGGCGCGATCTCAGCTCGCTGCAACCTCCGCCTCCTGGGTTCAAACTATCCTCCACCTCAGCCTCCC